ATATGAAAGTAAGATTCTGCTGATGATTATCCAAAAACGAATGGAACAACACATTAACAGAGTGCAGCCAGAAGTGCAGACTGGGTTTAGAAGGGGTCGTGGTAATAGGGATATTGTAGCTAATGTTAAATGGATCTTGGCTGAAATCAGGGAATACCAGAGGAATGTCTGTCTATCTGTGTTTCATTGGCTATGCAAAGACATTTGACTGTGTGGATCACAACAAACTGTGGCTGACTCTGAGAAGAATGGGTATCCCAGAACACTTGATCATACTAATGTGAAAACTATTCTTGGATCAGGAGGCAGTCATCAGAACAGAGCAAGGAACAATGCATGGTTCAAAATTGGGAAGGGTGTATTCCAGAGATGTGTCCTATCTCTGTATCTTTTCAACATATATGCAGAACAGATTCTCCGGGAGGCTGGGCTGTATGAGGAGAAGTGTGGTATCAGGGTTGGATGAAGATTCATCAACCATCTGCATTATAAAGATGATACAACTTGCTGCTAAAACTGAAGAGGACCTGAAGTGCTTGCTGCAGAAGTCCAAAGAATGCAGAAATGCTGCCTTCAATGTGCATTGAGGCTCAATATCAAGAAAACAAAGATTCTCACCACTGAAGAGATTGAGGCTGTTAACAGCTTTAGTTTGCTTGGCTCCACAGTCAACACTCTTGGAGCCAGGAAATTCAAAGACATATTGCAATGAGAAAGTCTGCTGTTAGGGACCTTGCCAAAGTTCTGAAGAGCAATAGTGTCAATCTGGAAACTAACAAGTGCCTGATAAAGGTCATGGTCTTTGCAAACACATGCTATGCATCAGAGAGCTGGACAATGACTAGGATGGGGAGAAGTAGAATTGATGGCTTTGAGCTGTGGTGTTGGAGAAGGGTATTGAATATACCATGGAGTGCTAAGGAAGCAAACAAGTTCACCCTAGAGAGGGTTAAACCAAGCTGCTCCTTGGAGGAAAAGATTCTGAAGCTTTGTCTGACATACTTTGAACATGTAGCAAGGAGGGGCCCATCCTTGGAGAAGGATGTAGTGGTTGGGAGGGCGGAGGGACAGCACTGGAGAGGAAGACCCTCTATATGGTTGATTGATTCAGTGACTGGGGTAATCGAGTCAGGTGTGTTGGAGACAGTAATATTGGCAGAGCATAGACCAGGGTTTAAAGCTGTTTTACATAGGGTCGCTATGAGTCTCAGACGACTTGATAGCACATAACAACAACAGCAACAACAAAAAAGGAAGAACTTAGATCAGATGTAGTAACACAGTGCAGCAACAAACATAACAATTGTGAAGATAGTTTATTCATGGGAAATATTTCATTCTGTTATCCATAAGATCACTATGAGTCAAAACAAAATTGATAGCTAGCAGTATGTTAAAAAAACACTTTATCTAGTACACATGTTGCTTACTCATAATTCCTGCTTGAATGAAGTTAACTGTTACTGTTTCAGGTGTCACTGAATTGATGGTTGTTACAGAGAAATTCATTAAACATATGTTTTTCTGTGATAGTCAACGTCACACACCCTGTTACACTTAGGAGCTCTTCAATGCTTCAAAAGCATTCACTGCTACACTTGGAGAACCATTTTGAACAGCAAAAGCACCAACAAGCACAGAAATGTGAAATAAGTACTACTACACCACAAAAGGACTGTTTATAGGGCAAAAGCTGAAACAAAGGCAGAGCTTTATCTTGTTCAGCTTCACCTGAAAATACTCATGTCTTTTGCCATTCAGCACATATTGATGAGTTACTATGAAAAAATCATTATTTTGGTCTTAAAAATAAGCTTAGCCTGTAGGAAAATTAGAAAATGCAGGATCTATGAATAATAAAGATTGATTTTACTCTTTCCTGCAAGGCAGTAAGTATGGAATCCAAAGATTATGTTGTTAAGCATTTTGACATATATATAGATAGATAGATAGATAGATAGATAGATAGATAGATAGATAGATAGATAGATATAGATATAGATATAGATAGATATTATATATATAATATATTTATTATAATAGTTATTTTCTTATCCATGAAACAACAATGTCAGTCTAGAGATCAAGTGCATGTGATTCAGGCCATTGCCTTAGCAATTACTTGCTATGCATTAGAATTGGACAATGGATGACTAAGGATGATAGAAGAAAATATCATGTGTTTGAGCTGTGGCACTGGAGAAGAGACTTGAAACATACCACTGAGCACCAAGAAAACAAATAGGTCTGTCTCAGAGATGGTGGAACCAAGTTCATCCTTGGAGTCTAGGATTTTGAAGCTTCATTTCACATACTTTGAGCATGTGGTCAGGAGGGACCAGTTTCTGGAGGACATCATGCTCAGAATTGTGGAGGGACAGCACAGGGGAGGAAGATCTCAGGTAAGATGGATTGATACAGTAACTGAGGCAATGGGGGTCAGTGTGTTGGAGTCATTGAGACTGACTCAGGACAGGGCAGGCTTCAGCGCTGTTGTGAAATAGGGTCACTATGAGTTGCAAGTAACTTGACAACACATAACAACATCTTAAGTCATCCATCAGCTTACTCTTTTTGATAAATACATAATAATAGGAAAACTATAAAAAGGATTGTGATGAGCCAACCAGGCACTTATGCCATTAATTAAAGTTACATTAAAAGTTTTTCATTGTTTACTTATTTCTAAAGCATCTCATTCAATATAATTTTAATAATACATTTATTACCTTATTTGAGGTGAACCAATGAGTTATTTACAAATAAAAAGTTCACAGATACTCCAAGTTTGTATTCTAGGAAGTTGCCTCATATATCAAGACTAAATATAGGAGGTAGAATCAAAGCAAACATTCTACCTGGTCTTCTCTGCTGTATATCTTCAAGAGGCTGGAATTTTGAGCTTCACAGGATGCTCGACTCTCGTACCAGTTTTTGCTCTCATTAAAAAATTGGTAACAGTTATCTCTATAACATATCCAGTTTTTGGGACATGGACCACAGTAACTCTCTAGTAAAAAGGAGTATATTTTTAGTTCTGCTTGTCTGAACATTACAACTACTTATATCTAAGCAAGTTTGATGCTATTTCTATTTTAACTCAAATTCTACACAATTAATTCACATGCAAAGATATCCTTATACATGTACATGTAAAAACAGGCTGAAACTAAATCAATTCTTTTAACAAGTCCCCTATTTAAAAAAAAAACACATTATAAATAAAAAGAAATAAAAGAGTAGCTTGCATGATAAACAACTGTGAATCATGGACTGACACTAATAATTTCACTGGATACATGTCTATATTCTATAACCCAGTATATAATAACAAAAGTTTATATGTTGCAATAAAAAATGAAACTCATACAACAATGTCTTTGCCCTCCATTTTGTGGTCTGCTGGTAGGCACGGTTAGCAATTCAAAGGTAAGTAATTTTAATCAACCAGCTGCTTCTGAGGAGAAAGGTGGGAAATCTCCTCTTGAGTCCTTGAAAAGATGATGAAGGGTCAACTATGAATCTCTTCCAACTTGATGGTACACAACAACAATAATGGTAAGAATCTGAACTGTAATCTCAAAGGCACCCGGTTGGAATCCTCCAGCTACTCCATGGGAAAAGGTGGGCAGTCTGTTCCCTTGCAATTTACTGCCTCTGCAAATCCACTGCACCGTCAGCTATAAGTGGGTTCTGACTACATGGCACACATCAACAAAGCATATTACAGAGTAGAACTATTCAATACAAAAGAAATTTGTCAGGCTTTTCTTCCTGTGAACTGTTAGTATGGTCAAATTTCTGACCTTTAGGTAAGCAGACTTGCAAACTACTTTGGCCACCTGTTGTTGTTAAGCACCATCAAGTTAGA